AGAACACTCATCTAGAATGTAGGAAAGCTGCTTTTGAGATATTCTTACCTTGAGGGGATTTAATCCCACATCTCCCATTTTCCAGGAGAGTGTCCTAGCAACCAGGGTTTAGAAAAGATTCTGTAAGTGCGCTCTTTGCTCCTCCTGTTGAAGCTGGGTTTCTAGACAGCTGGGAATATATGTTATAGGGCCATACGTGTGAGATTTAGGGCACCAGACTGAAGAAGATTGGCAGAAGATCATTGCAGATTTTACATTGTGTTGTTTCTGGAGATGCATACAAAGCACATACAAGATTAGTGTTAAAGCTTGAATTCTCTCAGTATGTAAAACAGGGCTGTTGACTGAGAACTCACCGTTGGAGCCCCATAGTTCTGAAACACTAATTTATGTTGAAACAGGTGTTTGGGAAGGGCTTAATAGTATATATTTGTATTCAGGAATCCATAGTAGGGGAATTATGATCTGCCTTCTTTCATATTTTGACAAAAAAGTAAAAGCAAATGGAACAATTATTAATGTAAATGATTGTTAATTGTAGAGTATACCTACGTGTGGTAAGGAGATACCTAAGGTACTACTAAAGGTAACTCAGATACTGGCGCCAGTTTAGCTCTGATAACACTGCTCTGTGAGCTAATTTACCCTTCTTCACAGTATGTGGTATAAAAATACCCTTAAAGTCTCTTCCAGTACAGACATATAGGACAGATTTGTATTTCATCTAGCAGACAATCAAAATTCAGCTGGTGACCAATTTAGAGTTATCTGGCTGTTATGTAGGAGCAATTTGATTACCTGCTCTGAGCATATAAGCAACCCAGTTATAACAGGGAGAGTTCTGTTCACTTTTGCAGGACTGTCCAGTTGCTGTACTGGGGGCACTTATGCTCCCAGAGTAGATAGTAAAATCTCTTCAACGCAATGGTCAGTAACTCAAGAGCTGGTCACAATTTGCACTTTGGTCATCCACCTGGGAAATCAAATTTCTGCTCATAAGGTTTACTATGTGCTAGGGAAAATGTACATATGGGCGAATCCTATAGCTTATAATCCTTTCTGTTCCACTTAAGAAGAGTGGAAGTAAAAGCTTTTAATCAGGTCAAGCATACACTGTCTGCTTCTAGGAACAAATTGCTACATCATACATGTGTACAAAGTTGAAGGGCAATACCTGAAATTATTATTTGTATCATGGTGGAATTTAATTCCCCAACCAAGCCCAAGACCTCATTATGTTGGGCACTGTCCATACCCATACAAACTGTCTCAAACACTTTACAATCCAAATAGGTCAGGGAAAAGGATCTTTTCAAATTCTGGAACATTTAAAGTGGATACCCACTAAAAGATAGGGACTAGAGACAAGCTAATGGAAGTGATATCTTAAATATTTAAAGACAAACTTACTTATTCTAATGAAAGAGCTTTTATGTCTTACATCAGTGACTGCTTGAGGGATTTAAGTATGGAGCTTAGTTGGTATAACCGAGAATCACATTCTTGGATTAAGTTTCTAGTTAAATTAGGGATGAAATAGATTTGATATCTACCACCAGTCTGTGTTCACAGCCTATTATGTGAGTCTCAGTGCTAACTTGCAGGTATTTTTCACCATGTTTGATCCTTCATTCTATATCCTGCTGCCTACAGGGAAATTCATTCTCAGTTCCACAACTCTGTAATTTTTTGAGCAATCACAGGCTGTTGTAAGCTCATCTCAGTGTTCACAGCACTGACAGGTGCTTTAGATAGTGCAGGTATGTTGGATTAAAGCTGCTAAAATTGAAGACACACATATAGAGGTGGTACCTGCTAAGATAATGTTGCTGTAGCTATGGGTCTGGCCTCCATTTCCATTATAAAATCCATTGATTGGGGAAAATTTGACATACAGATTCTCAGCATAGGACATTATTCAATCTAATCAATTTTCCCAGCTTCTTATAAATTTAAAGTTTACTCATCTGTTGTTCATAGGATTACCCAGCAGCTCTTTAAAGATTTGCTGTCTTTCCATGTAGTAATTGTTATGGCAGTGAAACGGCATATTTTGGTCAGGAGCTCAGCTACTTGATTTTAAATTTCCGGTAGAATACTTACATGGACACTATCTAGTTGTAAAGAGTTGTTTCTATTAAACTTATCAGTTTGTCCCAACAATGCCTTTTAAGACTTCACTTTCTGACAGGACATATCTTTTTATCTAAAAGAGAACAGGTTCAGGGTAGGTATCTTTCCCAAACTTGCTGTGGTTTAGGCTTTCGCAACAAAATAATTTAGCCTCTTCAATGCCCTATCCTCTTCAATAATTCATTGCTCTGGTAGTTCAGCAGCCCTGATACCACATGGGTTGGTTGCATTATCTTATTATTGTCTCTTTGGGCTGCTGCTTTTCAAATGTTCATAACTTCAATCTTTCTCCTCTTAGATTCACATGAGGATGAGGTCTATTTTCAATTATTTCTTGAATTTGTCCTTAGCTTTTGTTTCTCTGTCCCTGTTCTGATCCTTACATTTTGTTAGGTTGTTATTGACTCCATTCATTCCCAGTTTCGCTAGTCCTCAGGGAGTTTCATTATTTGAGCTGGCCCACTGCAGGATTTTAACAGGATATTTAGCCTGCAAAACAATTACTTTTACTTTTAAACCCTCTATAAATAAGTGGGTCTAGATCACCCTGTGTTTGGGAGTTGTGTGTGTGTCCGCTCCGTAGCAGAATTAGCTCCATATTAGATATAGAGGTAAGTGTCCCAATGCCCATTAAAACAGTGTCTGACTAAAGTACTATTTTGTGAGGTGAGAGAGATGGGTTGGCATTCGCAGGTCTACTAGGAGCATCCTTTGCGACTTTGGAGAGTTGGTTAAATATCCTATGCCTCAGTTTCCCCATTTCTAAATTAAAATAATGAAAAAATGTGATCTGCTGAAAACCTAATCTGTAACTTTTTGAGCAAATTTCTGGAACTGTACAAAATCAGAGTACAACATTTCTTGGCAAGGAAAGCTTAGCAGTCAGAAATGTTTTCCATCTAGAGGCTTGCAAGTGAAGAATTGCAGTGTCTCCTGAGATATTGGGCATCTCTCAAGCCCCTAATACATGCTTCCTAAGTTTTAGACTGGTGTGGGTGACTAATGGGCTTCCTGAGGACAACTGGAGCATCTCCTTGCTTGCAGGAGTTCAGAGATAGGGGAAACTGCTCCCGACCTTGCCTTGCTGTTCTCTTTCATATTGCCCGTATCTTTGCATATCTTAGATTTTGCTATTATGGCATGCATTCCTTTGATTAACCACAGGAGGGAAACTTGTAATTCTTTTAAGTTCCATAGGGGTTTTAGATTAACTCCTATGAAGGTCTGTTTCTAGAACGTGTTCTGTTTCAAGTCACTGACTTTGGAGGGTTTTTTTCCCTTTATGTAAAAGATGTCTCTTGTATTTGTCATCTTAATTTTGAAAGAAAAGAGAACTTGGTGTCCTTAGGGTTGAGGGCAAACCAAATTAGAAGGTGGGGAAAAGCTAGGTGAGATTAAAGATGTTGCTCATAATGTTGCACAGAGGCTTTCAAAACCACGAGGCATACGGTATTCATGAGGCTTCCAATATGTAAATGCTATTTATACACCAACAGTACAGAAAAGTCAGGCAGGCAGCCAGACCCCTGTAGACTTTTTGTAGATTTGCATCAAAGGGCAATACAGAGCTGTCTTTTATTGGCTTGCTCTCTTTTTTTATCACAGAGGTATATTCAGTTCCCTGGTTCCTGCCTCCTGATGATGCTTCTCAGACATCTCCTAGGCAGTGTTCATGTCTCACACAGACTTTGCTTAGCACCACTGCTTGCAAGTTAAGCAAACTTTACTATTCAGCACCATGAGATCTGTTAATTCACTGATGCCCTAGAGTTTCCTCTCTTCATTCCACTTGTAGCCAAAACTCATGTTAGAATAAACTTTACTGTCATTCTACCTGTGATGTCCCTGAACAACCAGAGATGCCTTTAGAGTCCAAATATATTTTCAAGTATATTTTTAGAGATACTGGGTCTGAAAATGTGTCCTATATTACAATTAGAGGCTGTTTATTATAGTGACATTTTGGACTCAATGGTTACGTATAAGAAATTATTCTTTAGTTACAGCTACGCAGTAAATTTGACTCATACCATTCTCTGCTACTCACTGAACAGGAAACAGCTGTGGAAGCAATGCTGACCTTTTAAAAGTGATGCCTGATCCTTATTTTAAATAAAAATCACCTTGTGGTAATCACTACTAGGGAGATGAGTGAAGGTAAATACTTGATTTTGTATGAATGGTAATGTGCTAGTGTATACACTGGATTTAGTGATGGGTATCTCTAAATGGATATGGCTTATTTTGAATATTTATGGTTGAACATTGTGCCCTCTCAAGTCCATTCCAGCCCCTGTTTAGAAATAAAAAATATTGATCCAAACTCTGTTCAGTTATGTGGATGCAACTCTGATGTAAAAATATTGTCTGGTTAAGTTTGTAGGAGCTCTGCTTGTCTAACAGAGCAAACGGGCTAGTCTTGCTGCTGATTGTGTTGTGTGTCATAGTCCCAGCAAATTAAGCACTTTTACCAATATTTTCACAGACTTCTTATTACTTGTATTGTTTTCAGAACCTCCAACACCCATTGCGCCCCCTGAACTGCTGGCTGTCGGTGCCACCTACTTGTGGATCAAACCAAATGCCAACTCCATTATTGGTGATGGGCCTATAATATTGAAGGAAGTGGAGTACCGTACAACAACTGGGAATTGGGCAGAAACTCACATTGTAGACTCCCCCAATTACAAGCTGTGGCACCTGGACCCAGATGTGGAGTATGAGATCAGAGTGCTTCTTACCCGCCCTGGTGAAGGAGGAACCGGACCCCCTGGGCCTCCACTCACGACAAGAACAAAGTGTGCAGGTAGGGTATCTTCTGCTTTATATATTATACAGAAATTTCAGTTTAAATATGTTATTGGAATCTGAATGAGGTTACATTCATTACTGTGTAAGCTGCATCCTTCTGTACTTTTATTGCAGCATGCCAATCAGTTACTGGCCCTATGACAGGCAAGATTCCACCTCTGTCTTCATGCAGCTATATTTTCTGAAGAGATTTGAATTCAAGATATGTATTGAAGTGTGTTATTAGTATTTTTGTTAATTCTATTTGATCTTTTCAGAGAGCATACATTTAATGGGAAGCAGTTTAGATGCTGCCAGTGGCATACCATACCTGCTATGTTAACTATTTGGCTGCAGTTCATTGACATTGTAGTAAGTTCCAGCCTGGATATTAAAAGATGACAAGCCAGTAATATATTTTTGTAACCATTTCTCCAGTGGTCACACTGAGTGTCATACATGCCCATTATCTGTTTTTCTTTTTTCTAAATGTGTAGGGAAGTGTCACATATGGCTACCCAGCTTAGCTTTGGTACAGAGAACAGTATAACCTGACTTGCTTGCTTATTTGCTCAGAATGTATAAAGTAGGGTAAATTGGGTGAATCTTGTTGCTAATTAGCCTTCTTTTTTTAAAGTATCCCTTCTCAGCAGGGTAAATATGCCACAGGTGAAGCTCTGTACTAATGTGGCTATACTGCTTTTGGTGCTTATGGTAACTTGGTGTGTCTGCATAATGCTGCATTGTAAAATTCAGAAATATCCATGTTTTTCCTGAGAAATAACTGTTGTTGCGAAGCAGAATGATTTCAGTGACTTTTGTTTTCTGAGCTTTACAACATTTTTTCCAATGTGAAACTTTTGGATTGTCTGAGAATATCTTGCTTTGCATTTTAAATTTCCTACCAAATGTTAGGTTCTTTTCCTCACAAACCTCCACTCTATTATAACTGAGCAGATAATTTTGCTCTCTATGAAGTTTTATATACAGCTAAACTAATTAACAGGGGCTTTTGATTTACAAGAGCATGCTCATTCCACTTCAAGATTTCCTGATTTGCTAAAGGTTGATTCTGTTTTTATGAATCTATAGCATTATGGCATGAGTTAGTGAGTATAAAAGAGAGAGTCATTATTCAATGAGGATGATTCTTCTCTTTACCTCCTGCAGAAATGTAATGCTTCTGAGCATTGCAGGCTTGGTTTTCTTCTTCATGTTAGAAAGGGATGGAGAAAGTAGGAACAGTGCAGGAAGACTAGAGCAAGACCTAACAAGAATCCTCCTAAGTGTGTCTTTTTTTTAATGGGCAACACATTAGAGTGAAGCATCATCTTGAAGCAAATAAGCTTGCTGGTGTTTGTTGTTTATTCAGCCTATCAGTCAGGGCATGGACAGATAAACAGATAAATACTTCTGTCTTTTCTACTTCATGGTGTGAGGAGACTTAGTATTCAGGAGCACATGCCAGAATGCCATATTCTGTTGTCCCTGTTTCCTTTGTGTGCTTCTATCCTATAGTAAGTGAAGCAAAAGTAATAATTTGCCTCCGAATAGAATGGGTGGTAATTTTTTGTGGCTTAGATTCTACTTACTTCAGGATAATGGTGGACAGATGAAATGGTAAATCCCCTGCTTCCTTCATTTGGTCTAATGGTTTCCTCTGTCTTCACTCTCACTAGTATGCAGAGGGTAGGGACATTTTCCATGTTCCTACAGGTAGCTTGAAAGTGAAAATACTGAATTGCATACATCAAACCACTTGGGCCTGACCATGTGCTCCTCTGTTCTTCCTTTTGTGCTTCTTTCACCCTTGAACATCAGTGTTGCAGTGAGATTCTGTAGCCTTCAGTACAAATAAGTATGTAAGATATTAGTCTTAACTGTATAAAAATGAAGCTAGTGTTCATGCAATGTTATAGGGGAAGTGGGGTGTTATATGCATGTGCTTGCCCTATGTAGCTATCTTGGGTGCTGTCACAAACCCAGCTGCAGGGTGCCCCAGAGCTAGTGGTACAAGTGTAGCACTGATGGTCAAACTGTCAGTCTCAAGTTAGATCTGGGCTTAAATCCGTATTTCCTTATGA